CCCATATTCAGTGATAAACAAGGAAACCGCCTCTTCATGTTTAAAAAGCTTTCAGATCGTAATTACTGGTAAATTTCTATGCTTCCCTCCGGTCAAATTCTTCCTTCCAATCTCATTGTCTCAGAAAAGATTCAACAATCAAGAATATTGTTTTTATATAAAAATATAAGATACTCATGAAGTCATTAAAGGAAAAAAGTTGTATTCTTTGAGACAAAAATGTTACTTTTAAATCAAAATTTATATTCAATGAAACAAAGTCTAAGAATGGTTTTGGATGTTTAAGTTATAAATGGATTAAAACTGCTTATTATTATTTTAATAATTGATCACATTTAATAATCGAAAATTTTTTGCTCCAATTAGTTTATATGTTATCGTAAACAGGGATAAAAACATAATCTTAATGATAATGCAAAAATTACTTTTTTGAATTCAAACTAATGATAAGATTATTTATATAGAAGCTGAACCAATATATTGTCAACCATCAAAATGATTCTAACCAAATGATAAAGCAAACAGATGAGATAGGAATATAATTAATTAATATTTTATTTAGAAATTTGTGATTTATCTAAACAAAAATATATTTTTGAAATGATTATTGTGATTTTAATTATCTCCAAATTTGTTTCAAGGCTTATTTTTATATTATTAGCGAAAATTTAGACAAAAAATAATAAAATAATATTGACTTTTAGATTTATATTTAATAGAATAATTATCTCATTATTCTTTGAATATCCTTATTTATATTTCCTATTATGTCTAATCCCAAGTAATCAAATATTACCCATCATCACTCAATTATCCATATATATAATTTGTGCTAAACTCAATAGATTACTCAACTTTAAATTCAGCATTTTCTGTAAATCTTATTAAATTTACATATTTGTCATGCTTATTCACAAGGAATTATTTTTACTTAATAAATTATTATGGAAATAATCGACAACCTTCATTTCCTTGATTTATTGTAATATCTTTTGATTTTGTGAATTATTTACTTTCACTATTCATCTCATAAACATACATCAAATTTCCATACTTAGGTTAAAATGTGAATAGATTATTGTTGATAAAGCATAATCGATATCCATAACAATCAACTTTTATTTTTTATTTTACAATCCAATTTTTATTAGGTTCTGATTACTCAATTACTAATATCAATTTATCCTCTCCACAAGATATAACTTGATTTTGTAAATCATTTAAACTTAATTAATAGACATCACTACTATGATCTGTAATAGTTTATTAACAGATCCATTGATTCTTTTTAACCCAAAACTTAATCGTCTTATCATTACTACTAGATATGAAGAGATCTTCATGATTATTCAAAATAATGCATCTAATACAATTACTATGACCTTTAATAGTTTATGAATAAATCCATGAATTCTTATTATTATTATATAACCAAATCAAAATAGATCCTTAATCTCCAGAAATCAATTAATTTGATTATTTCATAAAATTTAAAGTGTAAACATCACTCTAATGTTAATTTAAAACTTGATTTAATTTCAACATTCCTTATTTGAATTCATATATTTTAATTAATTTATTACACACTGTTGCTATAAGTGAACAATCTTTAATAATAGCAAATGCCCAACAAGATTCTTGTTATTTAATAGAATTAGCTTATATTATCTAATAACTAAATGGTTTAAGATTGAGTTAAGGTGGAGTTTCAATTAGATTTTATTATTATTTTGCTATAATCTCTAATGGAACATTTTCTTTCATATTTTTCTTCAACTTATCATTAGAAGCCTAAATTGCTTTCTCCAAACACTCCTTTAAATTTTATAACTTCTAAAAATAAGAATTCTTCTATGTTTTCCATTCATTTAATTTTTTTCCTTATACAATTTATACTAATTTCTCTAAGTCAGTATTTGACAAATCTATAGGATTGAAATTGTCGTACATAATTTTCAAAAATGATTTATCCTAAATTTCAATTGTATCATATATTTTTTTAATTGATTCATTTAACTTTTGCCAAGTATTCTTAAGCATGCTTTCAATTTGAGAGAGAATCTTTAAAAAATTCTTTCTTTATTCGGTGAATTCAGGATTTTGATCAATCTTAGATTCTTTTATTTCCTTTATAACCATATCTCTAAATCTATGAGTCGGTACTGTATATATAATATCAACTCCATGTTGATATTGGCAATCAATACAAAGTTTTCTTTTGCATTAGCATTAGTGAGGGGCAATACAAATGGATGTTATTGGAAATTTTATATGTTGAGTGCAATTCATTTACTTTTTTTTAATTATTATGTTTTTACTACTTTCCTTTATTTTTTATACTTCAAATAAAAAGTACTTGAAAGATGAGAACAGGGCTTCGTTCAGATTTGGAGTAGATTGTAATTGGCATTGGAGAGTGGGAAATCATATAAGTTCATTCATAGCTTTATTCATTAAGAATACAGAAAAAATTACTATTATGCTAAAAACTTTAATTTATATTTATTATTTTATATTTATAAATATTTCTATTATGTTTGGGTTATTGATCATTCTCATAAATTAACTAACTTATTTTCGGTTTTGTTTGGGGATCAAATCTAAATTTATTATTCAGTCTTTTAACATTACAATTTTTTATTGAGTTATCAATTATCTATAGAATTCCTTTTTCTTTTAGATCTGCTTTTCTAGTCTTTATTATTTAATCTATATCACTTGTTTTATTTTGGTTCAAAGGTCATTTTATTCAAAAATTAATGTTCAAGTATAATTAATTAAAAAAATTCTAATTATTATATTTTATAAAAGCTAAAATCATTTGAAGAACTAGATCGATAAAATAAAATTGAAGGACCATTATTTATAAAAAATAATGGTATAAGTTAGTATAGTGCTTAGTAATAGGATATCGATGTTTTATGTTACATTCCTTTAAAAGATGATTCATTAGAATAACTAATATCGATGAGATTTAATATGATTAGTTATTTAAGATGCGATTTAATAATTTTCAGTTTTTTGATTTATATTTTCAATAGCCTGACAATTAAAAATTAAATAGCCTTAAAAAATTCATAGTTTTTTAGATTTGATTACAATTATTAGAAAACTTTAATAAAATAATAATCAAACCTTGTGTAATAAAAATTAATTCTTATAGCTGAATATTTTTATTTAATACATTGCCTATCATTCTATCCTATAATTTCATTTGTATTTTTAGATGAAATGATCACTTAATTAGATGTTAATCGATTTAATATTTCTGATTTGACTAAAGAAATTTTGATTTTATTTAGCATAAAATTAAAGGATAGAAGATACCAAAAATCAAACCTAACAAATAATATTCATGGTAGTGTTTAGGTCTTTTATTCCATAAAAGAAAAAGGGAGCATGAATCGATGATTACGGATTATCACATTTCGATATAAATCTTCCTTAAAACTTCGCAAATCTTTCCACCATTTTCGAAGGGGTTACAGGATCCCTGGCTTGGCAATTATTAGCGCATCCATCCAATTTAGGTACTTTCTAAACTCTATGTATGTATATAAGTAGATCAGGGTAATAAATTTTCGTTTATTAAGNCTTGATTTAATTTCAACATTCCTTATTTGAATTCATATATTTTAATTAATTTATTACACACTGTTGCTATAAGTGAACAATCTTTAATAATAGCAAATGCCCAACAAGATTCTTGTTATTTAATAGAATTAGCTTATATTATCTAATAACTAAATGGTTTAAGATTGAGTTAAGGTGGAGTTTCAATTAGATTTTATTATTATTTTGCTATAATCTCTAATGGAACATTTTCTTTCATATTTTTCTTCAACTTATCATTAGAAGCCTAAATTGCTTTCTCCAAACACTCCTTTAAATTTTATAACTTCTAAAAATAAGAATTCTTCTATGTTTTCCATTCATTTAATTTTTTTCCTTATACAATTTATACTAATTTCTCTAAGTCAGTATTTGACAAATCTATAGGATTGAAATTGTCGTACATAATTTTCAAAAATGATTTATCCTAAATTTCAATTGTATCATATATTTTTTTAATTGATTCATTTAACTTTTGCCAAGTATTCTTAAGCATGCTTTCAATTTGAGAGAGAATCTTTAAAAAATTCTTTCTTTATTCGGTGAATTCAGGATTTTGATCAATCTTAGATTCTTTTATTTCCTTTATAACCATATCTCTAAATCTATGAGTCGGTACTGTATATATAATATCAACTCCATGTTGATATTGGCAATCAATACAAAGTTTTCTTTTGCATTAGCATTAGTGAGGGGCAATACAAATGGATGTTATTGGAAATTTTATATGTTGAGTGCAATTCATTTACTTTTTTTTAATTATTATGTTTTTACTACTTTCCTTTATTTTTTATACTTCAAATAAAAAGTACTTGAAAGATGAGAACAGGGCTTCGTTCAGATTTGGAGTAGATTGTAATTGGCATTGGAGAGTGGGAAATCATATAAGTTCATTCATAGCTTTATTCATTAAGAATACAGAAAAAATTACTATTATGCTAAAAACTTTAATTTATATTTATTATTTTATATTTATAAATATTTCTATTATGTTTGGGTTATTGATCATTCTCATAAATTAACTAACTTATTTTCGGTTTTGTTTGGGGATCAAATCTAAATTTATTATTCAGTCTTTTAACATTACAATTTTTTATTGAGTTATCAATTATCTATAGAATTCCTTTTTCTTTTAGATCTGCTTTTCTAGTCTTTATTATTTAATCTATATCACTTGTTTTATTTTGGTTCAAAGGTCATTTTATTCAAAAATTAATGTTCAAGTATAATTAATTAAAAAAATTCTAATTATTATATTTTATAAAAGCTAAAATCATTTGAAGAACTAGATCGATAAAATAAAATTGAAGGACCATTATTTATAAAAAATAATGGTATAAGTTAGTATAGTGCTTAGTAATAGGATATCGATGTTTTATGTTACATTCCTTTAAAAGATGATTCATTAGAATAACTAATATCGATGAGATTTAATATGATTAGTTATTTAAGATGCGATTTAATAATTTTCAGTTTTTTGATTTATATTTTCAATAGCCTGACAATTAAAAATTAAATAGCCTTAAAAAATTCATAGTTTTTTAGATTTGATTACAATTATTAGAAAACTTTAATAAAATAATAATCAAACCTTGTGTAATAAAAATTAATTCTTATAGCTGAATATTTTTATTTAATACATTGCCTATCATTCTATCCTATAATTTCATTTGTATTTTTAGATGAAATGATCACTTAATTAGATGTTAATCGATTTAATATTTCTGATTTGACTAAAGAAATTTTGATTTTATTTAGCATAAAATTAAAGGATAGAAGATACCAAAAATCAAACCTAACAAATAATATTCATGGTAGTGTTTAGGTCTTTTATTCCATAAAAGAAAAAGGGAGCATGAATCGATGATTACGGATTATCACATTTCGATATAAATCTTCCTTAAAACTTCGCAAATCTTTCCACCATTTTCGAAGGGGTTACAGGATCCCTGGCTTGGCAATTATTAGCGCATCCATCCAATTTAGGTACTTTCTAAACTCTATGTATGTATATAAGTAGATCAGGGTAATAAATTTTCGTTTATTAAGCGGTTCAATTATTATTAAAATTCATTGCATAAAATGTTTCATCTAATTTGAATTTGTTCATAAATTTATGAGGCTCGGATCCTAATAGGACGTTAACTAAGAGTGATCTTCTCTAGCATATGTCTACATTTCTTAGGGGTAGGTATATTCTGAAGAGATAGTTGGGCCTGTTTTAGATAACCTTTGATCTAGAATTGAAACTGGGATATGATAATCGATGAGTGGGAAGCATATCTCAGTAATCTAATGATGTGGTCTCTCCAATCTAATTTGGATTGCATGGAATAGTGGTGCTGTGATAAATATAGCCATTGCTAGGATAATAAAAGATTAGACGAAAAATTAGAATTGGTAAAGAATTTAATATTCTGTCATAAAATTATTTCTTTTGAATTTTTTAGAATTAAAAAAGAAATAAAAACTTAATATCAATTATTTAAATATTTTATCTTAAGGAGGTATATATATATAAAAATATACTTTAAATAAAATTTTAATTTCTTTAGGTACTTTCACAAAATATTTCCTTTTATATACTCTATTTCTTGGTAGTGAATTGGTTGATAATATCATATTTCCACCTTTTTTTTTTATCCTTAGTAATAATTCATCTAAAAATTAGATGGAGCTTACTCAAATGAAACATGAAATTCATTAATTCTTATTCACAATTTGAGATATTCAGATGCACAATCAAATTAAATTTTCTTAATTTCAATGCAATCTTCATTATTAACTATTCATAAAA